AACTGAGGCGCATAGCAAAGGAACAGAGTTGAGTCGAGAATTCACACTTCTCCATTTCTTCTTCAGGGTGCTATTAATCTTATCCTCTAAAATGAAGGGTACAAAGAGACATGTAACATTCCTAACATTGGCCCTCAGAGTATTTCAGGTGCTTAGGCTTCCTATACCAAACAGAAATCAATCAAGTACTATATATACAGTGAATTCTCATGGTAGTTGATGTTCTACAGTTTCCTTAAACACCAAATTAGTGAATACCAAAAATTGCTTCTAGCAGAAATATAGGGTTAGGTTCCTCCAAGCTTCCGGTCACAACACTTTTGTCTACTGATCAATACCTGACCTTGTTTTGTTTTGTTTTGTTTTCAAATACACCGTGAGTCATTAATGTTGAATTCATGGCCAGCAGCACGAAAACTCATGTCTAAACAAAGCTGGTTGAACAAACATTTTCTCCATACAGCAATCACAGCCGTCTTGCTCTTAATAATTAATACTAGACAGCCCTTCAGCACTACACTTGAAGTCATTTTAAACAGCTACCTCACCGAAGGAAAAAAGCACAAGAATGTGGAAAATGTGATATTAAATACACTATGAAGAAGTTCATTGTTTATGGTATAAAAGCTAAAACAAGAAGGCAAAGCATGGTCTTGTTTGACCTCAGCTGGGGACATGCCCACTGAGTGAAACAAATTTCTTGTCACTCTTCGTGTCTGCAAGTGACCACAGTACTGATTTGGGGGTCACAAGTATATATTAGTGAGTAGCATAATTTACAAATACAGAACCCATGAATAATGAGGGTCACCTCCACCAGCAGGAATGATTTAGATCTTGGATACCTAGGATACTACCGAATTAAATTAATAAAATTGCCTCCCGTATTCTCCCCTTTAAAAAATGTTCGTACTTGTATATTTTCTACCTGCAGAATCCCTTATGCACACACCAGGGGATATTGTTTTTTTCCTTTTTCACATAACATAGTGGCGACTTATTCATGTCTGGTAATTAAGAAGTAAGGTGGATAAAGCAATGATATAATCAAGATATCAAAGGATACTTAAGTCTTTTGAAATTATTTTTTAAAAACCCAAAGGATAAATATAATGTAACCCCAAAACTGTTTCAAAAATAAGGGGAAAATAGAAAGGTATATACCAGAAAGAATTAAATGTGATAATTTATGGTACATGCATTTGTTACAGATTATTTTAACTCTGTTCATTGTGCTTTTCTATATTTTTTAAAAACACTACCATAAGTATGTATTACTTTGGTAAACAAAAAGTTGATATAAATCCTATTTTGAAAAGGTAAAGCAGACTTTTGCCCTACAAAAGGGGTTTACCCTTTTTTAAGCCATGTACAGACAGATCAGAATCTGTCCTACTTTGAGGAGTGCCCATAAGACTATCAACTGATTTCTCAAAAGAAACATTGCAGGCAAGAAGGGGCTGGAAAGAACTATTCAAAGTCATGGAAGGCAAGGTCCTACATCTATGATAGCTTTGCTGCACAGAGAAATCTTTTAGAATGGGAGGGCAGATAAAAGTACTTTCCAGATAAGGTCAAGTTAAAAAAATTTATCATTACCAAGCCCTTACTACATGAAAAAGACGATCAAAACAGTAAAATGACAACAAACTCACTACTAGCAACAACTGAACCTAAAAAAAAACAAAAACAAACTAAGTAAACAACTAGGATAGGAAGAGAATCACAGAAGTGGAGATCACATGGAGGGTTATCGGCAGGGAGGAGAAGAGTGGAGAAGAAGGGAAAATGTACAGGGAATAAGAAGCATAAATGGTAGGTACAAAATAGATTGGGGGGTGGTAAGAACAGTATGGGAAATGGGAGAAGCCAAAGAACTTACATGTACAACCCACGGACATGAACTAAGATAAGAAAATAATGGTGGGGGCAGGGTACCACGCAGAGGGGAATAAAGGGGGGGAGGGGAAAAATAGGACAACTGTAATAGCATAATCAATAAAATATACTTTAAAAAAGAATCTGTCCTATTTTGAAAAAGATAGGTTCCCCAGAAAATACTTGGATTCAAAAAGAAATTTTTTTTTAAAACCTTCCTCATTTTCTTTCTTATTTCCTTCATCTTCTTTTTTACTTTGTGCCTTTCTCTATGTCCTCTGCCTTTCTCCATATCTGAAAGCAGCCACTAGTGTCCTAGACAAATTTAACACACTGGCTTCTCCTAGATTAAACTTCCCTCCCTATTCCATGTCAGCATTAATTATTTGAGTGGATTAAGGCTGAGACCGTTGTCAGAGAGGAGTCAAGTCAAAAGCTGACAGAGAGGTGGTAACTGATATAAAGACTGTTCTGGAGGAGACCAGAGGGAGCTGACCCCCAGAGCCCAGGAGTATAGGCAGAAAGGTGAACCTGGAGGTAGGAAGTGAGCCTGGGTATCCTGGAACCTGAAAGCAGGAGAGAGTAAAGAGGTCTTCAGGGCGTACTACTTTGGCTTTTCTCTTTCGTGGGAGGCAAGATCATCTGTTAGTAGTTAAGCAGGGAGGAGTTTTTGGGTAGGGAGCTGGGAGAGTGGTGAAGGTATGAAATAATAGGTTATGAGAGCAATAAGAAACACAGCTATCTATTCAAGAACAAGTAAAGAATGCTGACCAGTGACAAAGACCCAGCTGCAGCTGGAAACCAACCATTTGGCCACTTCTCTGGACAGTTAAGCAGTGTTCTCCAGCCAGGTTAGCAAGTATGTGAACAGATGGTCAGCATCTTCCCCAGCCCTCATTTTCACTTATGTATTAGCAGCACCTGAAGGTTGCTTGCTTCCTTCCTTCCCTAATCAACCTAAACTCACTTGTAATGAAGTAACATAACTGCCAGCACCCTCCACCCCCTTTCTCCTTTGTCTTTCTGTGGCTTCTCCTCTGCAACTCTCAGACCCTGGGTCAGTGAAAGTGTTAGGTGATAGTGTATTAGTTTGAACCTTATTGACATTTTCATTTTTATAGGGCACACATGATTAAATATCAGGGGTGTGATAAGGGATGACAGGACGAATTACCTGCTTTCAGAGTGCCACAAGTTTGGGGGGGGGCGGAGTTTACCCTTTTGAGTGGTTTGGAATGGGCCAATAATCTCTGAGTACTTTGGAATGGACCAATAGGATGCAGGGCCCAGTTACCAGCTGCTGCTCAGCCAGTCTCTCCAGAGGCCTCAGCCTGAAAGAAGGAAAAGTCTTCCAGCCGGATTAGGGTCCTAGGAGCAAGCCTGCTCCAAGATTTTATATTTTTTATTATTTTTTTCCTGGACAGGCTCAATGTCAGGTTGTCAAGGATACAAACAAAATTCAAAACAAGAATGATGGGAAAAGGGGGTTTGGGAGGGGCAGGCTTAAAAAAAAGAAGAAAACCCACACAATCATGTGTTGATTAGAAATGACAAGTATAGCAATTGTTTTTAACTATAATTAAAAGCAAAATGTTGACAGATGTTTTCTCATTTGAGGCCCGGAGCATCATTTTTCAAATCCTATACAAGTTCCCCAGTCATCTCTTCCTTGAAATGGGTCATTTCAGGCCTCATCTGGGCCCGAAGTTGCAGTATGTAAACAGGTAAATTGTCAAACTTCTAGAGACTAGGGCAAACTTGGGGATGAAACTCTGTTAACTCCCCAAAAGAGAGATCAATATGTAAACTGGTATCAATGGAAGAAATGCCTGAGAACTCTTCAGATATTAAGCAAAATTAACAGTCATAGCAACTGGCAGGTACTATAATGTTTAAGGAAGGACTACAGGACTCTATAATAAATAATAACAGGAAGCTTCATAATATTAACAATATCATCCTTAACAATGCCTGCTACCTTTATAACTTTTGTACACTTTAGTTATGCTTTGAAATCATTTCCTTGTGAGACTGGCTTATTCTACCCCCAAAAATTAGGCTCAGCAGCAACGTCCCTGCTGGGGTCATCCAGCCACTGCTTTGTGGATTAGCACCTCAGTCAACCGAGGCTAACGCCGCTGCCCTTGCCAATCCAATTCTGTTACAGAGTGACCCACTAGGCATGGCTTTGTGGCAATAAAGACCACAAGGTATTTAGAAGACGGGTCTTCTGAAACCCAGGATTATACTTTTCAGTGAAAAGGGAAATAGTCCCAGCATTTCTTAAACCTGAGACATGCTTCCCTTCTTGAAATCATCATCACCCACATCTAACTGAAGTTTCCGCAGAAAACTACACCTAAAACATGCACAGGGACCCTAACTCACACCCTAAAGAACAAAGCTTCCATAAGAATGGAAAAAAAGGAAGCCTAGAGTGAGCAGTCAGGAAATTAACGAGACACAGCCCTGTCTAATTTTCATGCAAGCAAACACCATCACAAATGCTTTCAAAGGTCAAGTTGCAGTGAGTGAGGTAATGCTGTTTGGGGAGTGAAATAAACATTACTTTGGTTTTGCTCTGGGAAGGTTTTTTTTCCTCCCTTTTTCATATTTCTTTCTCTCTGTCTCAGTTTTGAATTGCTTACCCTTCAGTCGAAATTGTCCTCATCACCCAGGTCTCTGTGAAAACCCTTTTATAGCCTTCCTCAGGGCCTGATTTTTTTCCCCAAGACCCTCTGCTCAGCAGACACTATTTCCTTACAAGGCTGGAGGATTTTAAGAGTGTGGGAAATGACGTTGGATTTGACTTGGCAGAACCAAAGGGGGCAGAGAAGGGAAGGAGAGAGAGAAAAGAAGGAAGGGTCTCCTGTTCAAAATCATCCTGGTTTCCAACCAACAGCATTGCACAAGTTAAGCATTTTCATAGATAGTCTTAACAGTTTTACAAGATTTTTTTTTCTTTTTCAAAATGTGCTTTCAACAGTCATGCTGTTTTCCAATGAACTGAAAGAGGCACTGTGTTCAGAAACGACAAGGATGGGCTATAAGCATATGACTGGAGATACAAAAGCTGCTTTATTTGAATGTATGTTTGCCCTGGCAGGGATTTGGAAACCTACCTGCACATAATCCACACTTCGTCCCAGCGCTCTGAAGGCCGTGTACATGACTTCTCTTTTTCCACCCCATTTTTGCATGATGCAAATACTTTTGTTGGACAAGACCAACTGGGTGACATGTTGGGAGCTTTCTTTATGTGACTCCTCCGTCTCCCCGGGCCCCTTCTGGTGAAAGTTGTTCTTCCAGATGTAAGTGGCTGATTTGTCCCTGCCCATGACTTCGCTGAAGATGTCCATCATGTAAAGATCATCTTCCGAGTTCCCATCTATGACCATGACGACTTTAATCCCAGGGTAGGTGAGCCTTTTCACAGATTGCAAACATTTCCGTAAGTAGTCTGGATCTTCTTGATACGCAGCGATGCAAAGAGCAACAGTCTTGTTCAATTTAATGGGGGTTTCTAGGGATTTTTTCATTTTTCGGTGCTCCAAAAAGGCAAATAGGCTTTGGATGATGAGGTGTGATGCTAAAAAGGCACCATACAGTCCAAAAGAGAAGTAGTAATTATCTGTTTGGATAAACTGGTAGCCAACAATATAAGCAGCTGTGATTCCAAGGAGGAGAGAGACTCCAAAAAGTGTGGTTCCAATTATTCTCAGGATACATAGAAACCTCTCACAATGCATCTGTAATGTAATCAGAAAATACTCTTGGTTAATGACTCATGCACCTGTTATATACATGGTATTATGTGTTGAGCATTGGACTTAGAGCATTCGGGGAGTCCTAACCCTGAGTGTCTAGCTAGCTCTGTGACTTCCTGCATCTCAGTCTGCTCACCTGCAGAATGGGAGTAGAAGGATGTCCTTCTATGACACCTCAGGGGGCTGCTTCAAGATCAGACAGCATGATGGTGCACTGCACTATTGAAAACCACATGTTGAACAAATAGATGGAAGCATTATTTTTAGTGTGTTGGATCATTTGTCTAAGGGTTGCACCCTACCTCCGTGGTCATAACTAGGTGTGGAACCTAAATTTCCTAGCAAGCAAGGAAAATCTTGCTTCCCACACTATGTTCTCTCCTTCTCCAATACTGACCCAGCAACAAATCCAGAAGACAATTGGCTAAATTGCTCGCGTGCCATTTCATCTCATCTCCACTGCAATTTCCTCAGCTCAGAGCCTTTCTGTGCAGCCGGCTGAGGTTGCAGATGAGGATGCCTACCTGGATTCCAGTGCTAGCCCTTCCATCAACTGGTTGTGCAACCACCTTCAGAGGGTCCCTCTGCCTCTCTGGGCCTCAGTTTTTTTGTTTTGTTTTTGATTTGTTAAATGATGGGGTTTACACTCAATTATTTCCAAAAGCTCTATTGACACACATCTGTCAAAGCCCCTGTGACTCTGACACTGCATTCTTTTGTTCAGATGGCTCTTCCATCCGTCATCGCTAACACCAAATGGGGATCAGGAAACTTATTGGGACACAGTAACAGTAAGCACACAATAAATGTTTGCAGAAATAAACCGTAAATTAAAGAAACATAATCATGCTTAATTTCAACAGGTAAGTTTCTCATTCTCTTAAAAAGCTGCAACACATTGCACCTGAAACACATTTTAGCTCTTAAGTGGTGGCAGATTCCAGATTAAGGGTTCAGTCCTACAAGACTGGTCCTCCACACCCCCACCCTTAGATTCCAGCCCCAAGCTCAGGATGTTACTGGACTTCTGTTAATCAGAGGTTGCCATGACTGCCTCCTTGGGTTTGATTAATTTGCTACCGCGTCTCACAGAACTCAGGAAACCTACTGACCCACCACGTTGTAGGTTTATCATAAAAGGATGTAACTCAAGAACAACCAGATGAAAGAGATGCATAAGGCGATGTGTGGGAGATGGGTATGGAGCTTCCTTACTCTTGCTGAGCTTGCTACTCCCCAAATCACCAACCCAACAGAATTCTATACCCTCTCCCTTTGGGTTTTTATGGAAGCTTCATTGCATAGGCATGATTGGTTCAATTATTGGCCACCGGGTGACCTAACTCAATCTCCAGCCTCTCTCCTCCCCCTGGAGGTCTAGGGGTAGAAGTGCAAGTTCCAACCCTCTAATCACAGGGCAGATTCCACTGGCAAACCATCCCCACCCACCCTTAGCTTTTCAAATAATCACCTCATTAACATCACAAACCACGTCTATGGCTTTTCCCTCAGATTATTACAAGGATTTTAGGAGCTCTGTGCCAGCTGACCCTTGAACGACCAAGGTTGGAACTGTGTAGGTCCCACTTATATGTGGATTTTCTAACTGAGACGGGGAATCCTTGAAGGTGGAGGGCAAATTTAAGTCATTCTAGGACTTGACTGTGCAGGGGGGTAGGTACCCCTAGCCCCATTGTTCAGGATCCACTGTGTACTTCTTATTATAAATTACAAGGTTCTTTTCCCCTAAAGCTTATTTCCCTCCTCTCCCAAGAATGAACTATAATGAGAAATTGATATACATGCCACATCCCCATCTTCAATCACGCACACCAACTTCAGGGTTTTGGTTCTATTTACATAATTACTGCTTAATCTTTTTTGTTTAATTCAACTAGTTTTTGAAAGCTAATTCAATTTATTTTACATGGAAACTTAGGCTAAGTGGTTATCTCTGCAAAATCTCTTGCTGGATATGCTAACTGTATTTTCCTATTCCACATTAAGACTTAAAACTGAACGTCCACATAGCATTTAATTATCTTGTATTACTATCTTGGTTGTTACTAGCTGTGTGGCCACCACAGTGCTCTCATTTCCAAGAGGCTCCATTCACATTCCAGTCCCTGTGGTCATACACAGAGGTGGTCCTGAGCGAATCTGCATTATACTTTTAAGAAACTTCCGCGTGGCTGCTCACCATTGGTTTCCTCCACTTGGGAGCCCAAACTGCCTGATGCGTTTGGCCTGGATGTTTGAACCTTTGGAAAGTGGAGATGAGTCATTTCAAATAGGGACTTTTAAAGAGAGAAAGTGGACCTCCTGCAATCTCTCTTCCTCCCACAGGCTGATGTTCTTATCGACAAAGCCCTAGGGTATTGCGGAGCCCCAAGATAGAAGGAGCTTGGTCCCTGAACAGCCAAATGGAAGGAGCCAGCCCCCAATCAGGAATACCTGCCTTGGAGTCTCCCGATACCAAGAAATAATTTTGAGTTTTTGTTTGTTTGCTTACCCATTCTGAATTTTGGGCTTAGTTCACCCTAAGAATAACATAGGTTATGCAATGCAGCCTAGAGACCAGGATTTCAGGGTGCGGACATTATTTTCCTTTGTTAAGTACAGATGATAGTACTTGTCAATGACTCCGCACCAGGCTGCACTGAGGAGCAAAATCAATGTTTGCAAAAGGGTTTTTTAATGTATTTTTCAAAGTATTCAGCTAACAACGAAGTTAAAACAAACATGTGTTCCACTTCTAGCACTTATATAGGACACCATTAATAGGTAACATGTGAGCCTGATAAAGGCGTGATCACAACACAAATGAAAAGTTCACACTGCTGGGGAACGGTGAACTGCACAAGGCAAGAGAGCAACAGCATCCCTTGCTAATTAAAACAGCTGTTGGGATGCTTAAAACTCCCAGAGGGTGCATTAGCCAATGCCTGAAGGTGCTGGGAGCACCAGACTTGGAACGTGTCCGTTTCCAAGACGTGAGTCATTCTCACAAGAGTGAAAGATTTCAAGGGGACTAAAGCCTTCTGCCGGGGAGAAGCTAAAGTGTGTGCTTCACTTGTGTTTAAAATCACCATAGCCAGCAAAAGAATGGCCTGCTATTATTCTTTTTCCATTATTCACATTTTCCTTGCTTTTATCAGCACACGTGGACAGAGTGTTCGCAAAGCATCTGCTGGCCACAGCTGCAGTGGGAATGCCATCTGACATCATAGGAGTCTACAGAGTGTCCTTTAGAAGCCTGGGCAAAGTTGCTGGTAACTCGCAGCCAGGAGACGAGCATTGAGCCTTTGTATTTCTTCATGGTCCTCACGTGCTACACGCAGTATCTCAGTTGCCTCACATGTGCATCAGGAAACTCTGTTTCCTCCGTAAAGTTGACTTTACTGAGGAAATACACTGATCTCAAGGAGCGACACATAGGATGTGTTTCTTTATAAACTCCCCTGGTGATTTCACAGATATGGACACCATGTGTGAGACTCTGAGACAATCCCCAATTCAAATGCTCCATTTCATAAGCAAACTCTCCTTGTCAGACATATGGCTTTATAGTTAAATTGGAAAATCTGGTTAGCCTCACCCTAGATCATAAGAGTTTACTGTTAGATAGAAAAATGATTTAGAAATCTACCTTTCATAAATATTTAAAAATATAAAACCTGGATTTCTTTTTGCCTAGTATCAGTTTAGCCTATTCATCAATTTTTAAGTTGTTATTGGACTTATTAACAATTACTAAGTACTATTCTTTCAGAATTCTAAGCCAAAGCAAGTGTTCAAGAATGGCCTGATGCACCACAGTGTAAGCTCCACAAAGCCAAGATTTTAAGAAAATATTTGGTTTCACTCATGTACCCCAAGGACATAAACCTAGGTTATTTTTTTAAATAAATATTTACTGAATACCAACCTGGTTTATGACTGCTATTCAGTAAATGTGTTCAGTAAGCAGACGTATGTTGATTCATCAATATCTCACTGGCATCTTTGTTACATCAGCTAACATTTATTCAGCTCTGATTAGGTTCTAGGTGGGGGAGCACATTTGTTTTGTTCTATTACAGCAGGATTCTATGTAATCTTAATGACATTAAGTGGTAAATATGTAGTTAATCTTGTACTACAAATAACATACATCCGATGAGGAAACCAAGGCCGGGTATTTAAATAACTTGCTCCAAGTCACAAAACCATGAAGGTGTAGCGTCCACCCAGTGGCATAATGCAAGTGATTAGAATAGAAGGTATTTGCGAAATAGATTTGAACCCTCAGGACAAAACAGGCAGCATCCTTTTGTTTTGGCCAATAAAAATGTTATATAAGATTATAAAATAACTGAAATGTATTTTCCTGCTATGGAAAATGAGGAACTTACCTGCACTCAGGTACAGACACAAAACCAGCCAATACACAGAAGACACCTCGGCCTATACACCTTCCTATGTGGGTACAGTCCAAAGGGACATGGAATGGGGTTGGTATAAAGGAAGCTGATGGTTCCATCTGTGCAACAGCAGTGCTGCCCAAGTCTTGTTTCACCATAAGAAAGGTGCTCCTGTTTCCACTGGTTCTGCTGTAGAGCAGATACAAGCCTTGCTTAACAGCCTTGCTCATAGACCCCAAGTGGAGCTCTACAGGTCACGAGGCATCGGAGGCCTTTCCTTCTCCTTGACCGCCTTGAATTAACCAAGGGCAAATGCTGCATCAGAATAACACTGTCCTAGTGCAGCGGTGAGAAATCATAGCCTTCCCTTTCCTTATGCAGCTGGGAAAAGCGGAAGTGAATTCAAATTAATGAAGTCAGCACCTGGGGAGAGCTGTAGACTTTAGTCCAAGATACCTCTTCGGATAGGGCCTAGCTTACCGCTTGCTCCCTGCTCCCTTCTGAACTAACTTCTCCAAACTGCCTTCTCCCACTAACTCTGCCATTGTCTCCTCTTGCCGCTTGCCGGACCCTGTTTGA